CCATCCCCATGGTCACCAGCACCACCACAGCCACCAGCACCACCACGGCCACCACCAACTCCATCCCCATGGTCACCAGCACCACCACAGCCACCAGCACCACCACGGCCACCACCAAGTCCATCCCCATGGCCACCAGAAAACGCCGTGGCCACCACCAACTCTATCCCCATGGTCACCAGCACCACCACAGCCACCAGCACCACCACGGCCACCACCAAGTCCATCCCCATGGTCACCAGCACCAGCACAGCCACCAGCACCACCACGGCCACCACCAACTCCATCCCCATGGTCATCAGCACCACCAAAGCCACCTCCACTCCCCGTGGCCACCACGCTTGCTGTCACGGTCCCCACCGCGTGTCCCCCCCACCCCGTCCCCTCTCGGTTTTCACCTTGATGAGGTCGATGAGGAGAGAGGACTTGAACATCCAGTCGAGCTTCATGTCCTCGTTGCGCAGCAGGTCCTCCAGGCTGCCGCGGGAGCAGTGCTCCGAGACGATGGCGAAGATGCCGCAGTCGTGGAAGAAGCCCAAGAAGAGGTTGACGTTTTCGTGGCGCAGGTCACGCAACTGTCCCAAGCCAGAGGACACGTGGGATGACGCCCGATCTTGGCCCTGGGACCTGGTGTGGTCTCCTTCTGGCCTGACCTTGTCCCAGCGTGGTCCAGAACTCTCCCCGCCCTCCCCACCGTGGCTTGACATTGTCCTACCATGGCCTGGTGTTGACCTCCATGACCCCCTGTTGTCACCCATGGCCCAGCGTTGTCCCCGTGGCCCAGAATTGTCCCCCATGCCCCAACGTTGTCCCCATGAGCCAGTGTTGTCCCCATGACCCACCGTTGTCTGTCATGACTCAGTGTTGTCCCCATGACCCATCGTTGTCCCCATAATCCAGTGTTGTCTCCATGACCCATCCTTGTCCCCATGACCCATCGTTGTCCCCATAACCCATTGTTGTCCCCATAACCCATCGTTGTCCCCATGATCCAGTGTTGTCCCCATAACCCCTCGGTGTCACCATGATCCAGTGTTGTCCCCATAACCCCTCGGTGTCACCATGATCCAGTGTTGTCTCCACAACCCATTGTTGTCCCCATAACCCATTGTTGTCTCCATGACCCATCATTGTCCCTATGACCCCTCGTTGTCCCCATGATCCAGTGTTGTCTCCACAACCCATTGTTGTCCCCATAACCCATTGTTGTCCTCATAATCCATTGTTATCCCCATAACCCATCATTGTCCCTATGACCCACCATTGTCCCCATGAACCAGTGTTGTCCCCATGACCTATCATTGTCTCCACGACCCATCATTGTCCCCATAACCCACTATTGTCCCCATAACCCATTGTTGTCCCTGTAACCCATCGTTGTCCCCATGATCCAGTGTTGTCTCCACAACCCATCGTTGTCCCCATAACCCATTGTTGTCCTCATAACCCATTGTTATCCCCATAACCCATCATTGTCCCCATGACCCAGTGTTGTCTCCACGACTCATCATTGTCTCCACGACCCATCATTGTCTCCATGACCCATCGTTGTCCCCATAACCCATTGTTGTCCTCATAACCCATTGTTATCCCCATAACCCATCATTGTCCCCATGATGCAGTGTTGTCTCCATGACCCAACGTTGTCCCCCATGACTCAGTGGTGTCCCCATGACCCATTGTTATCCCCATAACCCATTGTTGTCCTCATAACCCATCGTTGTCCCCATGATCCAGTGTTGTCTCCACAACCCATTGTTGTCCCCATAACCCATTGTTGTCTCCATGACCCATCCTTGTCCCCATGACCCATCGTTGTTCCCACGACCCAATGTTGTCCCCATGACTCAGTGGTGTCCCCATAACCCATCGTTGTCCCCAGTACCCATCGTTGTCCCCATAACCCATTGCTGTCCCCATAACCCATTGTTGTCCCCATGACCCATCATTGTCCCCATGACCCATCGTTGTCCCCATGATGCAGTATTGTCTCCATGACCCAACGTTGTCCCCCATGACTCAGTGGTGTCCCCATGGCCCATTGCTGTCCCCATAACCCATTGTTGTCCCCATGACCCATCATTGTCCCCATGACCCATCGTTGTCCCCATGATCCAGTGTTGTCTCCGTGACCCCACGTTGTCCCCCATGACTCAATGGTGTCCCCATGACCCATCTTTGTTCCCACGACCCCCTCACCTTGCAGAAGGCCAGCTTGGTGGCCGGTTTGACCTCACCGTGCTGGTCACCGGGGAACTTCTTCAGCCAGACCCAGTCACCCTGAGGGACAGAGCGGGGTGAGGTCCCAGCACCCCCAGGGACCAGCCCCACCCCGAGGCCGTGGGGGGGACACGCAGGGCCA